CAGTGCTGCTTATTAAGCAAACAATTAAAAGCAAGACCAACTCATTGCTTTAAAAATCAAATGATTAAAAAAAAATCCTACAAAAATGTAACTAACTGACATGAAAATAGACATTAAGTAGATGTTGAAACTATACAAGACAATAAGACAATAGCCAGCTCTGGTGACTCCAGTTTCAAACTGTAAGCATTAACAGGGTTTATTGTTCAGCGTAGATTATTGTGAGAATGTATTAAATGAATTTATACAAATAAAGAATTTTTTTACCAGTTTTATGTGGTGAGCTTATATTCATATCTGATAAGATTATCCTTAAATGTTAGTTCAGAAAAATAATATTTGCAAAGTAGCTGCCAGGTACTTTTATTGAAATTTGTCATGATAAAAAGGAATTTTGCTAAATGACTTTCTTTGTTACATTTCCATTACTATAACAAAATCAACTTATTAAGAAATTATTCATTTTAGCTAACAATTATCAGAGGTTTTGTCTTTGGTTGCTTAGACTTGTGGGTTTGGGCCTGTGGCAGCATAGTACATCATGGTGACAGTGTTTAGTGTAGGAGCCTGCTCACTTCATGGCAACCAGAAAGTAAAGAGAGAAGTAGACATGGGCCAGGGTGCCAATAGTGCCTTGAAAGACATACCTCCAGGGACCTAACTTTTTTCCATCAGGCACCACCTCCTAAAGTCCTACCACTGTACAATAGCACCACTTCCTGAGGTCCAGGCCTTCAGTTCCTGGGCTGAAGGGAATTGGGAAACATTTCATTTCCATACTATAGCAACAGCCATGTAGTCATTCCACTCTATAGGGAATTTTATTTACCTAAAAATGGTCACCTTTTTCTTTAAAGAACTGTGTGTTATTTAAATATATTGATAGTTTGTATAGCTTAGCTTTCTCATTTTGTAAATGAAGAAACTTGTCCAGTAGCAAATGAAGTATAGGCGGGCAGTTTGGGGAATAATTCAAGCAAATAATGAAGAAGGGAGGCTCTGTGTAATAAGCCAGACCAGTAGGATCAACCTGTTCTCTTAATGGGGAGACGTATATCACAGTCAGGTCATATTCCCAGAGGTGAGGATTGATGGCCTGGAAACAAAAGCTTGTTATTTGCAACACTAAGACTTGATTGTCTTACAATGATTTATAAATGCTCCTGTTATTAAGCAATGAAGAAGATATGAAGTGATTGTACTGCACACACTACATGTGTGTCTGTGTCCATGTTTAGTGCAGGTGAAACTAGAAAGGGAACATTGGATGACTAATTGGTGAGATCACGAGACACAACAGGATAGGGCACAAAGATACAAGTCTTATTTATAATCCTAGGTCTTTCTCTGAATCCCTATAATTTTGGCCAAGTCACACTGCCTCTCTTAAATTCTAGCAGTTTTCTTATCTACAAATTGAAGGCACGTATTCCTTAATGACAGCTTAGTTCTAGAATTCCTGGATTCTAGGATTCTTCTTTAGATCAAAATATCAAAAATGAGTTTCAAAAAAGCAATTTGCATCTTGTAACCTAGAAAACACTACCAACAGACAAGTTCACATCCTCCTTGCTACTTCTCTTCAGGGTGGTGTTGGGCCTGGTGGTGGTGGTGGTGGAGGTGATGGATTCTCACCACAACTGTGAGACTTTTCATAGAACTCACAGCTTCCCTATCTGCACCTTCCTTTAACTTATTAAGTGCGTGCCTCTGTCATATTGACTTGTTAGTACTGATGAGATGGTTGGAAGGGAACCATAGTTTTCAGGTGCTTGGGAGAAGGAAGATGTCGATACTCACTGGTGGGAAGGGGTAACTGTAATTACTGATAGCCAGCATTGCAGACAATGATCTCTACACCTTCTTCAATCCCCTCCCCAAATAGAAAAGGCCTTTGAACTTTTCTGACCAGTTCTCCTGCAAAGAACTCTTCAGAATATCCTGGATGCTAGCATCTTCCTTTCTTCAGTGGCCCAAGGGCACTTCCGTTTCTTCCTTTGTATATTGGGCTGCTTCTCCAGAAAGTTCCCTGAGATAATATGTAGTGTAAACATGCCTGTGCCCAAACACCTGTGTGTTTTTGTGTGTATCAGAGAGACAGAGAGAGAGAGAAGGAGAGAGAGAGAATTGATTGACTAAAGATCTGAAGGTCTTATTTTATTGGAAATATTCACAAAAAAGTCTTCCTTAAAATAGCCAGGAGATTAGAAAAGAGTGGGCTGTTTGGGTCTCAGAACTAGTGACATGAAAAGTAATGTTGTTTACTTTTCTCAAAATCTAGTAGCAGCAGTACCATCCCTGCCAGCAACAACCCAACAGAGGAATGGGCTGGAATCATTGTGCTTACCTATTCCTGTAACCTGTCATTGTGAAAAGGCAAATACACTCTTCCTTTCCTTGTGTAATGGAGAATATGCTGAGACCTTTAATGTGTCTTCTTATTTTAGGATTTTTCACAAATTAATTAGAAGTTGCTACTATTAATTGAGTGCTTACAGTGGGTCAGATGCCATTCTATTGGTTTTCCTTGGATTTAAACCTCTTGATAATACTAGGCAGGTTGTTGGTGTGGTTATCAGCTCCACTTTACAAATGAGACACCTGAGACATACAGCATTTTAGCTTGCTTCACAAGGTTGTCTGGTGGCAGAGCCTTAGTTTTTGCATAGAAATTCTCAACCACTAGATAAAACTACCTCCCAATGTAAAGGGACGATCTCCCACAGCCAGAAAGCTAGTGAGAAATGGTCTAAGGGCAGAGAGCCTATGAGTTTAGGAAGGTGATGGGTATGTTGTGACTGGAAATTATCTCTGGTGCAATCTGTAAGCCCCTCACCTGAAAGATTTGTCTGTGTGTGTAGACTTCCATCTTCCCTGGTAGGAGGCTTGCTATGTCACAGCAGATGAATACATGCAGGAATTTTATGAGTTTTGAAAGGCTATCCAGCCTTCGGTGGCATTTTCTTTGGTGGTTTGACTTCCTGCTTCATACCAGTATTGGGTTTACCTCCATTCTTCTTCAGGTGCCATTTCTGTTGCAAACCTGGTCTCTTTATGGTATTCAACTAAAGAAGAATAGAGGTTCCTGCAGCATTCCCCTCCTCAAAAGCATCTTGGGTCTGGTCCTGACTCAGTTGTAGTAAGAGACCAGGGGAGTGTTCCCCAAACACCCTTGTGGTAGAGATGGCATATACCGGCCAATGCTTCTGGAAGTTTCTTTGGCAGTATGTCGAAGGACAGATTAAGGAGACAAAAAGAGTGTGGTGAAGAATCTTTTATGATGATTTGGGGGAGACTATTTTCATGTAGTACAGGAATGTAATACTCTATATCAGGGACAAAAGTGTGGGTGCTGCCTGGGTCTTGTGACTCTAGCCCCAATCCCTGTTCTCCTCCAGCAGGGTTAATACCTGTGCTACTGTATATCAGCTTCCTCCTTTCAGTGTCTTCCCCATCTCTACACAGCCATAGGGAATGTTTCTTGGTTTTCTCAAAGTTACACTATTGGCATGGCTTGGCTGTCATTCGTCACTTCTACTGGGGAAGTATTTCCAGTTCTTATATCTATGAATACCAACCCCAAAGACAGTGAACATGAGAGTAATCCATATTTGTTTCTTCCTGGTGAAGGGAATTTCTTCTGTTAGTGCCATAGAAGTAACACTGGACCAACGCACTTCAGCAACACCTTCTGCTCTCTGAGATCTCCTGCCCAGGCTCATTTACATTGAAGTTCTTCATACCAGATTTGCCATATTTTCCTGCCATTAACATTTATGTCTGGACTGAATCCCTCCTCTTTTCATCCCTGTAGTGCTGCTCCACTTTCTCCTCCACATGGTGCTAGGGAAGAACTTGTGATTTCAGCTGGAGGGAAAGCATCAAATGATGGTGGAAGACAATTGGTTCTTTCCCAAAGCTACAATAACATAGTCCAGAGTCTAATGTACCTACTTTTATGTTTTCCTTTGCCTGTACTCTGCTGGTCTCTATTGCATATTCCTTGTTGAAAATTAGTTGTTTTCATTTCTATGATTTCCTATATCACATGTGGGCTGCAAAGCTGGCATAAAGCCTTGATAGCACCAGTTCCCTTGTGCAGACTGACAGCTCCATGTCTCTAAATTGAATCCATCCAGCAAGAGAATACTCAGATCACAAACTGAATTCAAAACTGAAAAGAAGAAAATTGGTGGTGGTGGTTCAGGGAAGTTTGAATTCCGGGGATCATTTGTTAAGCTGGTGTTCTCCAGTTGAAATACACCCCCAGCCCTGTTTGTTCTAGTGTGTTTTTCTCAGAGGGTCTTGTACTTTTGTGCCTCTGACTGTAATCTTGCTTCCACCTCCCGAATAACCAGAACACAGGTGTGCACCACCATGCCCAGATTGTTTTCTTGAGATAGTCTTGTTGACTTTTTAGCCTAGACTGGCCTTGACCTGTGATCTTCTATGTCCATCTCCATTTTCCAAGGAGCTCAGATTACAGACTTGCACCATGATGTCCAGCTGAATTAAAAATCCTGAGTATAAAATGTGGTGAATGCAAGGTGAGGTGTAAGAATGAAGGCTTGAACGAGGATTTGTGAGGAATAGTTGAATAACATCTTACTTGTTAAATTCAGTTTCAGAATTGAATGCCCTTGTGTTTTTTTTTCTAATCACTATAGAGGAAGAGAGTGAATAGTAACTTATATTTCTTCACTGATCCCACACAAACACACTGTGCTGGTTTGTGAGCTGTCTTGCCAATCTCAATTGAGTGTCTGTTGATAGATGGAATACATCTGTGTTGTCTGGTTCAAGGAGCGCTGTGCTAACCATAGTTAAGGAGGGTGTTCTTGAAGTCAAAATCATTTGGTATTTTTGCTCCTCATTTTCTTAATGTGTATGGAGGGTAACCTTTTGGATTAACTTCTCTCTGTAATGCCAGTATTGTGAAAATTTGGTATTCCTTTTGGAATTTATTAAAAAATAAACTTGCTCTCTTTTTTATCTTTTAGAAACTACCTCTTCAGATTACAGCTGGAGGATCTGTCTCTTATCCAGGTAGGTGCAACTTATTTTTGTTAAAATTTCATTTCGATCCCAATTAGCTCACTCTTGGAGGGAATAAAGACAGATGCCTATGAAGGTGTTAGCCCTGGTGGAGTCGGTTTCATTTCCTCAGCAGGCCAGGCTGCAAGCCTCTTAGCTGCCTGAGCTGGTGAGAGTCATCACTTTCTTTAATTCCCAGTTAGCTTTTTCCTCTGCCATGTGGTCTTTTTGTTTTCTAGGTATCATCCTGATATATTCCTCAACACAGCATAGAAAACCCACATCCCTTCCTTAAATTCTGAAGGCATCCATTTTTCACAGTCATTGGTTGTTTAGTTTAATGCATTTAGTCATATTCCTATGAAACATTTTTGTTTTCTCTTTTTGTTGATTATAACATCATGTGCAACTGTGGGGTAATAATGCATAGAGCAAAGGATAAATAATAATAGATAAGGCACAATTTATTTATTTCTGTTATTGCATTTTGGAGAATGAGCTGAAGATCCTCATGCTAGAATTTTTACTTGCGGGGAAGATCCGAATCATCAAAATCCCTTATCATAGGAAAGTGTGATGATTAGTGTCTTCTGGTAAATGAGAGGCTTAAGACACAGGTTTCTCCTTCACCAAGATTCTGGAGCCTCGTAGACTGCACCTGGTCTGGAAAAAAAATTTGATCAATTTTTATATCACTGTCATGTCCCAGGCTCTAAGAAGTGATTAGAGAGTAGTTTATATTATATGACACTCTCTGTAATGGCAGTATTGTGAACATTCAGGAAACATTAGCGCTAGGTTTTAGCATTAGATCTATGTTTTACTCACCAAGGTCTTAAAATAAGACAATCCCATAATCAAAGAAAATATTGGTAAAAAAGCAAGGGCTTTGAAGACCCTTATACCTGAATTTATGATCTAGTTCCATGTTTGTTAGTAATTATTGGTTTCCTTATTGGCAAAATGGCCACAAATCACTACCAACCCTATGACATCATGAGGAAAATGAAAGAAGACATACAAAGGAGATAGAGATCAGCAACTTCTCAACAAATGTATATTGCTTTCATTTTTTAAATGATCGTAATAAAAATCATAATAGTTTCATCACCCTTGGCAATGAATTTTCTCTTCAGTACAGTTTATTGTGTATCTTTAGTATATCAATGAGTTGGTTGTTGTTAGAATTTTGAATTTATTAAAAAGTGATTACATGATCTGCAGTTTGAATTAGTATGTTAACTGAAATAAGCCAGGAATAAGCAAATACTTCTGATTCCATTTGTATGTAGAATCTAAAAATGGCAAATTCATAGAGGCTGAGTAAAATGGTGGTATGTACTTGGGAGATAAGGCAAAGACTGGATAGATGTTGCTTAAAGGATACGAAATTCCAGTTTGATGGAGTAAATTCAAGAGACCCATTATATAGCATTGTGAATATACTTGAAAATTGTTGAAAGTAGATTTTAAGCATTCTCTCTACAAAAATATGGTAAGTGGGTTGGGTAATTCACATGTTTATTAGCTTGATTTTGTCATTCTATATTGTACACATGTATATAACACAATGATGTATATCATGAATATATAATTTAATTTTTCTTTGTCAATTTAAAAAGACTAACCAAACCATTCAGAGTCTGATAAGTTTGGCCAAGCGGAGTGGATGCTAGCTAGACCTATGCATTGTAGGATGCTTAAAACCCATCTCTGATTTCAACCCAATATGTGCTAGAAGCAGTCTCTCCTTTCAGTGAGTTGTGACCATTAAAAGTATCCCTACACATTGTCAAATATCTCCAGGGGGTAAAAATGCCCACAGTTGAGAAAAATTGGTCTAAACACTGACACAAGTTAAAATTGACATTCCCTAATCCCAGGTAAACAGGAACAGTTTTCATCAACTTTACCTTTTGAATGAGTTCTCTACCAATAGCGATCATACAGTCAGAGAGGTTGAACAATTTTCAATTTGAAAGTCACAGGGAGGCAGGTGGAAAATTGGAAAACAGATTTCAGTTTTTCTGCTTATTCTGGCATTTGTGAGAAACAGACAGCAAATCCCTTTACATTAGTAATGAAACAATATGAAAGTGGATTTTGCACTATTTCCCAAAACAATGTTAGGAAGACAGTGAGGTTAAAAGAAGTGAGGTTCTTCATGTTATTCAGACTCTGTTCAAAGAGATTCTACCTCACACCACCATGCTACAATCCGAGGAGAGCAAATGGGGCTAATTAGTCTTGAGGCCAGCTCCATTTTCAATTTTTTCAAAAAGCTTTGTCCTTGTAAAATAACTGCCATGATTGAGGCAGTAACAAAAGTGATGCTGAAGATTGGAATCTGTTATTATGGCATGCAGTAGGGAAGATGAACAACAGTAAACTGTCACTATGCCTGAAAATGACTGGGTTTCAAAGGGCCATAGGTAAATCTCAGCATATGGTGAGCTGCAAGAAAATGCATCACAGCCTCTGAAGAGAAAGGCAATCATAATGTTATCACATTAATATTTGATTCTCTAGCCGGTGATGAAAAACAGCTTTTATTTCCTTAAATTAAAACCAACTCTTGTTTTTTTCCCCTGAAAATATTAAAGTGTGCCTGTTTGAAATTCATAGCAGATATTCCAAATGCAGCCATTTTACTTCATGGTATATTTATGCTATTATTCTTGTCGGGTTGCCAAGAAATTTGCCTCAAACAGGTCATGTTCACTCTGGCTAAGAGATTAATTGTATCATAATCCCTGCTCCAATCTTTTTGCTGCTTAACGGCTTTACTACTGAGGACTCTGTTGACTATGGAGACAAGATTCTCTTGGGTAGAAGCAAAGGAAAGAGACCTCTGATTTGGAGTTCTATTCACTCCACCCAGGAAATCTGACCTCACAGTGAAGTTTCTCAATTTGGACCCATCCCACAAAATCCTTGATCATCAAGTGTGACTCCACAAAGCTGAGCCACCAAGCTTGCCAATGTTTGATAGACAATATAAATTTGCAGCCACCTTGCCCCATTGAACGAGGAGCGGACAGGATGCACTTTAGAGTGGTCCCATGCTCTGCCTACAGCCAGGAAGTGTGCTGGCTGATCAACATAAAGTAGCAGGTTGAACCCCAGCACACCTGACTAAGACGGGCTCACTGGGATCTCTAGAGTACTGTGAAGATCATGAAGCAGAAGAAAAGAAAAACATTGTTCAACATGTGCTTGTTACTCAGTGATGCCAAACCACTTAAAGACTGGAGAAGAATTTGAAGCGAAGGAAGAGTTTGGGAATGCAGGAGTAGGGGGTTGGTATATGAGTATATCAGAGTAAGGAATTGTCTACATGTCCCAGAATCTTCCTTTGGGTCGAAAGTGTGCACACAGGTATGTTTTCCAAGCTCTCACTGAGCAAACATTTCATATTGCCCTATTCTCTGGGTTATATTACTTTCCTTCTCTTGAATTTAGGAACAAAAATATGAAGTTTACACCACACCCTAGAAACATTAAGTTAAATATCAGGAATGAAAATATTGACAAGAATTAATTTTGAATATATAATGACCAGATAAGCTAATCTAATAAATGACTATAATCCAACACTGAGGATTCAAGGCTAAAAAAAAAAACACACACTCCATCTAACACATAGTGAATTTCAATATGAAGCAACAAGTACTCAGCAAGAAAGGCTACAAGACTGTGAATTCCTGAGTAATTGAATCCCTCAGGTAATTGAATTCCTGAGGTGAGCCAGCCAACCATCTTCATGATGAGTTACCAAGTGGTAATGACTGAAGGGACACTGAAGGATCTGTAATTTTTTCTAGATATAGAAGGTGGAATACAAATGTTTAATGGAGAGGAGACACCAGAGGAAAGTGCTAAAGTTAGGAAATAGCAAACAGTTTTGGAACAATTAAGTAGCCTGACATTAAAGGTGATGGGGAGAGACGTGTGAAATGAGGTGCCATGGACTGGACCCCACCATCCCGCACAGAGGGCAAAATCAAACCAAATTCTGTCTAACGATGAATAAAGTCCACTGCTAAGAATTTTTCTCCGACTTAAATCTCATTTCCTTGATTTTTGTCCAAATTAGATATCTTCTTTGGTCTGAGTATTCTCACTGTTTCACATTTAAGCAATAACTTTCTATCTTCAGACATGGAAAGAGAAAATAATTAGTTTGAAATATATAAGTCAATTCAGATGATCTCTAGTAGAAAGCAATATTTTGTAAAATAACAGATAGCCTACAAGTCATAAATGCTCTGTTCTCTTTATCTACTCCAACAAACACCTCTAGCCACAATGAACACTTGAATTTGGTTAGCTTTAATCCAAATGTGTTAGGAGATTGCTACTTCAGATGCCATGATATTGACTTGATTAAATCTGTAAGATCTTTGCTCTGCTAGGCAATTTCTCTTTAGATTTTTTCATATATATATTACCCAGATGTGGATGAATCCTGAGTGGCCATTTTTAAAGAACCCTCCGCTCGGATAATTAAGTTTAAATTACTTCCTTTTATTAATATGAAATTAAATCTACAAATGAATTGAGTCAATTTATAATACCCTTTCTTATGGGTCATAATGCTATACATAACTACCCTTTGTTGGAAAACTTCTGTGTATTTTTAAGAATGTTGTACTAATTAATAATTTAGAATAACTTTTTCAATTAAATATTCACATTGATTAATTCAAAAAAGTTAATATTTTGTGTTTATTGGGCCAAGAGAGACTGGTTTCCTCTATAGCCCTCAACAAACATGATTAAAAACTTTCCTTCTTTTTCCTTTCTTTATCAGACATTCTTCAAATCTTAGTGTCATAAGAGGAAGTGTTTTAAAGATTATCTTTGTTGAAACCTTTATAGGGTCAACAAAGAAGAGCATGTAGATCATAGTTGAACTTTTTTGGGGCCTGAAGCTACGCCCATCCATTTTCATACTGTTAGCATGCATTGATGATTGATAAAGTGTTATTGGAACACAAATCCATTCCTGA